AAAAATTTTTCTTGAAAAAGTTTTTTTCAAAATTCCCCCCCCCCCCCCCCCCCCCCCCCCCCACACACACACACACACACACACACACACACCAACACACATCTTAAAGGAAAATTTATTTTGGGTGGTAAATCCTGTATAGAGTACCCTTCACTGATTGGGCTGCTCTGGTGACATTATGAGATCACCTATAGACAAATGTAATCTCATTCTAATTTTTCACTTAGCAGAAACCCAGAAAGCTGCTACATGTGTGCAACAATTGCCTTATGTACAAAACTGTTGTCATAAACCCCGCTATATATTCTTTCATTTCTGCAACTTGAAATACTGCAGACAGTTGTCACATTGAAGAAATTACTGACAGATGAACAGATTGCACACAGTTTATACAGTGACAGCAGTGTTAGCAGGTTAGATGGTTACTGTAAGGAAGGGGCTGGGCTTGTTCGGGCCTACCTTCTTACTGTTTGCATGCAAAAATTCCTACAATGCAGTTTGAGACCCCTGCTGAGGCAAAGCCACAAAGTGAAGAATGGGCATTATCCAAGATCAAGCCAAGAGTCATAACTTGGTGAAAAATCAAGGAACGTTTCATAGGATTTGGAGGAGTGCAAAATATCAAAAATAATGACAGACTAAATATAGTGGTGCAGCAACAAAAGATGACAGAATTTATCCATGGATAGTTTTTGGATATTTCTCTTAAACTGTGTCTATTGCACAACAAATTCACTATGTTTATGTGTCATATTTTGTATTGTTTTCATCCCCAGCATACAGTTTCACCCTTATCACTAAAAAATTCACCCCACCTCACATGGAATCTTGCTAGTTTAGAGAAACACAAAATTGTGCAATGTCTGCAACTCTTCATAGTGACTTCTGTGAACCAATGTTTTTCTGGCTATTTCTGCTAATCACTTCAAGTCCAGCCTCAAGAGAACAATCAACTGTAGTTTTCTCACCTTTCTACACAACCACTAAATATTATGATAATAAACCTTCTGGTTACCTATCAACCTGGAAGTGTTTAGGCTAGAAGGAGACCAAATTATTCTCAGAATTGTTTTGAAACCTCATATGAGCAATATTTTCAAAATCTTAAGGTTTCCTACATAAAATTAGCTATAATTATACTTTCACATATAGTTCATAGACATTGTCTAACTTCAGAAAAGGTATGGTCATTTCACTGATGCCAATATATCAACAGTTTTTAGGTAAAAGTGCTATTTTTGGTTTCTTCATGTTCTCTACAATCTGTGCTTGTATTAGACGTGAATCAATGGCTTATAGGAGCTTTGCATGAGTACTGGAGGACAGTGCCACTGATATTTTAAAAATTACTCTGTTTAGATTTTATCGAAAAGATTTTATAGAAAATGAAAGTGACATAAGGCTTCAGCCAGTTCAGGCCTATGTTATTTCAAAGTCACACAATATAAAAATGTCAGTATGTGAAAAATAAAGATTTCATTAAAAAAAAAAAAAAAAAACAGCACAATTTAAAGAAAAATAATCCAATCAGGCTGGTGTTCCAATGAGAGCTCTGTTTTAGTCCTTAAAATGATTTTTTGTAACATTGAAAAAAATAAACAACACAGTTCTTCTTTCACAACTGCACGAAATAATTTTCCTCAATTTTGATGCAAAATTACAGAATGCTTTATCACCAATTTTTAAACACTAGTATGTACTGCTGTTAATACAGTCATTCAGAAAATGTAACTGGTACAATGCTTGAGGTCCAAGGGGGGGGGGGTCAACACCATGAAAATGACATGACAATTTTTATGAAAAATGAAAAATTCACCAAAAGGCCTAAAAAAATTGTGCTTCAATATGTATTTAAGTGCTTTGAATCACCCTTATAAGTTTGAGGATAGTAAGCTACATGGTTTTCCTTCTATTGTTGTACCAGTGAGAAGTGGGCCGCGATGGCGTGACAATGAAAGACTCAGGTGATGGCTATTTGTACAGACACAGATACATTTATATGCACTTTCCATGAAAATTCTAATAAAAGTATTCTTATCTTAGTGTTAGTTGTTTAACAATTTATGTAAGGTCCACTAAGAACCACTCAATCAAGAAGTATTATCTTCAATCCAGACAATCATGTAACTATTTATTTTATTTAATTTATTTTAAACATCTATGGTCTCTTATATTATATATCTGGTATATTAGTCACATCAGTGGGATCTGAGATTCAATCCCAGAACCTCTATTTCAGCATCATGATAATATTCCTACTGTGCTCCACATAATTCTGTGAATCAAGGCATTGATTTTCTTACAACTTCCACAAACTAAGAATCTCCTAAGAAACTTCCAACCAGATCAATAGTTATTTGATTATAGCCACTATGAATCAATGCTCTCCTCTCTGTCAGAAATATGTGCATTCTGGTTTAATACGCTTAAACTAACAAATTTTGTCCCACAGACATATATCTTTTAGGTTCTTCATCTAAAGTAAATAAATCACTACTAGTGCCTGTGTTTTAAATTGCACTATCCTTTGGATTTAAATACAACATATCATTTATATTCAAATTTAGCTGACTGATTAACTATCCTTGAAAAAGTATGTAAATATATTTTTGAGTTTGTAGGTCAACAGAATAATGGCGAGCAGGTTATGGAAAATTGGTTGTGTGAAGGTAAATCTTTTCAAATCTGGCACAAGACATCCACATTTCTCCACATCAAATGCACTGTTTGATGTTTTACATCAATTGTGCTGCTTCTATCCATGTTTCTGGAAAGTATTACAGGCTTGTACCCGGGGGAGGGGGAGGGGGTTCAAACCCACCACTTCATTCAACGAAAAGTTCTGCTCTGGGTAAAAAATTATTATAGTACACAGAGGTTTCATGGTTAAAGGTCCACTCTTTCCAAAAAAACTTTCCCCCCCTATATAATTGCTGGCTACGCGCCTGTATTATCTGACTTTCTTTACACCTACCTTTAAATCCCTGTGTACGACAGGCTGCTGTTGCTTGTGCATGTGTTGCACAGCTCGGCATGTCTGATAGAACACCTGTAACACCTGGTCACAGGACAACTCTCCCACAGCATTCATAATGTCCACCATTTGACCACCTGTAAAAGTAACATCAGGGGGAGAAACATAAGTAGTAAAAAAATACAATTCTGCATGCTGTAAAACCGTAGCGCCAAATTTACCAGTTTGTCTTAGTCCAAGTCAATGGCAGATGTCACAACTGCAAATAAAGGGAGAGAAAGGGAGACACATATCATCATTCAACATTTTTCTTACTATCCTACAACCAGTTGAAGAGTAAGGTTTTCTTCTGAAAAGGTCTTTTAAAGCAAACAAAATTATATTTAATTTTGCTGCTCCTCAGAGCTGCAATTCTGAAAATAAAAATCTGAACTGGAAGATATATGCTTTGAGTAGATATATTATCTTAATTCCAGCTGCATTTTAACACTATCTTTTAAATAAAAATCATATTGAAGCAACACAACACATTTTCCCTGTTCAAGCGAGTTGTAATTCCTAAAAAATAAAAATATTTAACAAAAAGATCCATCAAAATTGCAATCTCTACCTAAAAGCCAGGCATGGGATGGGAAAATTGCAAACAAGGCAGCAAAGTTATCAAGTAGATCAAGGTGATGACTACATGTACAGAGACAAAGTTACCATCACCACACAAAAAAATAGGCCTTCTTGGATATACACTGATCAGGAAGTGTTCCTTAAGGTGGATATATGCTAGAAGGTAGTGCCAACACAGGACACAAAACTTTACCTGCCACAGGTGTTAAACTATGTCAGCAACCAAGGAAAGTCTTGCTAAGATGCAACAACAGCACTCCTTAAAATCTTGATTTAAAATATTAGAGTACTTAACACATACTTTGACAAACCAGGAATTCCATCATTTTCTGCTTTACAGGCAACAATTTTCAATCTGCTGACTGAAATTGAATCTTAATAGTCCTCTTCAAACTCTATTTATTCAAAACCCTTAACTAAGAATTTGATAGATCGACAAAATGTTTTTACTAATGATTTAGCCCAGGGGTTGACATATATTACGAACATAAGTCTTTGAGGCATTATTATTTTGAATGGAGGTTTTAGATTTCTGTTAAAATTAGTAATTGTGGTACTTTCTTCTACTGTTTTCTCTCTTTTTTCACCATCTTTATAAGATTATTATTCTTCAACTGGGTAATAATAGAGATTTACAGTGGTAACAAACAGGTTCACCTTAATGACCTTTCTGTCAGCTTATACAAAACTATCTTGCCACCATCCAGCATCTGAGTAGAGAAAAGCAAAAAACTTAATAGAGCTTTATACAAGTTTACATACCTGTGCAGAGCTCAGTTAGGATAAGAAATTCACTCATTCCAGTGTCCGACTCCTCTTTGCCAATTGATGCCGCTGAGACAAACTCAAGGATATTGGGATGCCCAGACAACTTTTTCTGATCAGATTTAAGGAAGAAATTTAACATTATCAACAGCATTTTGCTTCTGATTTCCCAGTTTTGAAACTTATATTCTTTACTTTTTTATTATTAATAAATCTTAAACTTGGATACATTTTTAAAAATGTATCAACTTATCAACTAAAACCAATGAATGTCATTATTTATCTTATTTATCTTACATATTTATCTACCACATTTTCATTACAGCATACTTGCTGTGAAAAGGATACAAGAAAGCAGATTTCTTGATAAATCGCTTTACTGTTTTCTTCCTCACTGGAGAGAAGCCTCTGAAATTTTGAAATAAAAACTAAATTATATTTAAAAAATTCAACAGAAAAATTGTAATAATTTAAGTCACTATATAACTATTATTACCTTAACTACACTTACTAGTATATCACTGAAAAATGTCACAGCAGTAATGATCAATCTAACCATTTTTAATTATCTTTTACATGTGCAATTCTGTACAGAAACATTTAACTTACCGAAAAACGCCCACGGCCTAAAAATGTTTTCAAAATTAGCAAAAAAAAAAAAAAAAAAAGCTTATATAACAGACATTAAGTAACAATTTGGAGTGAAACATGAAAACCATACCTTCAAGGCATATTCTCTTCCAGATGCAACATCTTGTGCTACATACACAAAAGCAAAACCACCTGGAAAGGATGAAAAATGTTTGCATCTTGAATTGCCACCTTTTTGTACCAAAGTTGCCTCATGGTTATACCTAATAGTTATATTTATGCTGTTTTTTTAATGCCAAAATATTTCATCTAGCAGTGATATATAAATAACTAACAAACAATAAATATTATGGAATGCTGAAAAGGAGCCTCTGCAATTTTAAATATGTGCCTAAATTTCATGCCAAGCACTGAAGCAGGATACTTGGACAATATAGCTGAATGCTTGACAGAGCCCACACACCAATTTATCAACTTCAGGCCTACCCAACTACCAGATCGGCACATAAGGATCCTGAATTAACCAGTATATCAGACCACACTACCTGTTTTCAAGGTGTGTGTCAGATCGCATTTCGGAGTATCATACCCCAGAACAAATTTTGTAGGACGACTGCAGGTTCATCCTGTCGGTGTTCTAACTGATACTCCGAAATGCGATCTGACACACACCTTGAAAACAGGTAGTGTGGTTCGATATAACGGTTAATTCAGGATTCTTATGTGCCGAGTCTGGTAGTTGTGTAGGCCTGAACTTCCATTCAAACTGTAGGATGCAGACTTGTGAAAATGAGTAAATCCCACTGAAATGTACTGGTGTAATTATGTTTAGAAAGGTACTGGTTCAGGGGTGTTGATAACGTTTACCACTCAATGTGGAAAGCAGTTTGACTGAAAATTGCACATAGGACTATAAATAAAACATTATTACTTGATCAGTTGATATATAATGGCTCATTACGTCAAATATGTTGAGTTTGTGGCAGTAAAGGGGGCAGGAATGGGTGGTTTTGTGGAGTGTAAAGATAATGCTTCGTGAATATCTTAATATACACTCACATTTCGTTCTAACCCTCCCCCCTACTCAAATGCAATGTAAGAGACTGAACTGTAACTCACCTTCCGCTATGACTCGCTTCACTCTTAATTTAAGGTCACCAAGTTCTACATATTGTCCAACAAAATCATTTTCGGTTCGGCCACTCCCTGGACTAAAATATCCAAGGGCCGATTTAAAAAAATCTGCCATGTTTATCTCACAAAATTTGTCCAAATCGATCCATCATTCAGCAGGTGGAAGTGTGATGTCACTGTCGGAAATGGGTACGCCGCTCGTTGTCGTAAAGTGATTGTAACTAAATCGGAAGGATTATAAATATGCTCGTATTTGGATAAATTTTAGCTTTAAATCTCAAACTCTTGTTATTTTAAATAATCAAAGTGGAGATAGACGAGAAGGGAAAGGTGACTGCTTCGCCGCTTTCGCATCTCAAGAGAGGGAGGGTACTTGGTATTCAAAAATAGACTAATTTTAAAAAGCAAATTTGTAAATGCTCAATGTTTGTAAATGCTCTTTTACCACAATTAAAACATTTAAGCTTTAACCGCTGGCAAATTTAGGTATCAAGTTTCTCGACCACAATAGGCTTATATGGCGAGATTGGTAACTACAGTGTATAGTTGTGTGTGAAAACTTTGAAATTACATGTGTCGGATGTATTTCTATTGTAGAAAACACAATTAACCAGGAGGAATATCTTAATAATGGTAATGTATTAATAGCCTCAGTTATGATTGAAACAATGGGTTTTTAATGTTTACATACACATCAAAAGTATAACAGTAAGGTTAAATTACTAATTGCCATTAAAAACTGAACAGACATCTATTAAAGATTCACTCCATAGTTTTGAAAATGCTTATTTTTGCCATAGGCCTACACAGATTCTTATAAAAAATTACATACATGTAGGCCCTACACCTTAAAATTATTTAACTCCTTAAATGTTTTTATCTGGAGCGTGCCTGATGGTGATATTTCCATTAGAGTTTATAGGAAAATGGTTGCTTTTATAATGACTTATCAGTCATTTTTAGCTAAAATCAACCTTTATAAATTTTATCAAAGGTCGAAACCAAGTGCAAAGAGGGATTGATGAATGATTCGTGAGTAGACTAGGAGAATATTGATATTTTCCCCGGAAAATCAATTTTGGCGGGTATTTTTGATGTACTGTACCTTTAACTTAGAAACAACGGGCTTATTCCAAGAATACATTAATTATCATTTCATTACCAACGGAGGTTAGGCTTTAGGTGAGTGTAGTGGGAAAAGACTTAATCCCTATGCGTAGGCTTTGTATTAATTTTTTCGTAACGCGTTTCCTGTGTCGTTCGCGGTTCTCTCGCTCTTTGGCATCGTTCACCTCACATCCAAACCCAATAGAAAGGTGCAAATGAGGTCACAGGCATGTGCTCTTAAAATATTTACTGCACGTATTACAAACTATGTTTGATTATTTTAGGGTCCCACATGAGGAAGTTTGTATCAAAGTTTAACTCTCCTGGAACCATGAATAATAAAAAATAATAATAATTCATCGTCTAGCCCCAAAAAGGAACACATGTTAGGCCTACTGTTACAAATGCAAAACGTCCAACTGTGGAAACGTTTTACTCACGTTGAAAGTTCAATCATCACCGATTTTGTTCTTTAATTTATCACATACAAGTATAACGTTGTAAAAAATGATAATTTTCCGCAAAGTTATTTATTTATTTATTTATTTATTGAGTGACTTTAGTTTGCTTGTCACTGAATGTTATGAAAGTGGGGGTTGATACACCCTACTGACATTAAAATAAGCATTACATGAACTATTTTCCATTCGTGGTCCAAATATTATATTAGAAATGTCAAACTATCATGGAATCACAATATAGGCCTATTTTTCAGTCAGCAACAAAATTATTTTTCTGGGCAACATACGTCACGTAGTATTAGCCATGACGCGAAGCCCCTTGAGTTACAATTTAAATATTTATAATAACATCATTACCTCATATATAATTTACCATGACTGAATCACTACAAAATAAATCGGAACGACAATTAAAATTGTATGACCCAGAACATATGTTATTGGAACATAAATTATCATTTGGGCTCCTTACATAATGTATAGACATGGAAAGAACTGAAAGTAGACGTAAAATTGAGACAGTCACGGTTTTTTGTTCTGTACAATTACATGTTTAAAAAAATGAATACAACTTCGAATTCATAAAATTTTATTTATTTATTTATTTATTTATTTATTTATTTATTTATTTTATTTTTATTTTTGTTGTTGTTGTTGATATTTCAGCATGTGAAATGCACCTGTATATTGGGTTTGGGTGCTCAATGCTCAAGAACTTTTCCGTCTTTTGCTCAATACCTGCCGAAACGATTTTTAAGGTAGATTAGGACTATTCAGATATCTAAGTTAAATCCAAATTGTTTAAGAGAATTTGTTTATTTATTATTATTGATTGATTTATTCCAATGGTAGACCCAATGTACGTGCCTTTTTGAAATCGTGGGTCGTTCATTGCTTGGGATCTACACCGTGTAGGCTATGGTAGTAGGCCATACAGTTCGTGACTGGTGTGGCGAGATTCGGGTGGTCTGTTGTGCTCAGATAGTTCAACTGTCGTGCTCAGATAGTTCAACGAGTATTGAAAAATTGTTCTGAGTTTTCTTCTGAATAAAAATGGTGCACCGCTTTTGTTTTTATTGATGAGGCGTAATACAAATGTACACTTAAAGCATAGATTTATTGAAGAAAAACTATAACGGTCCAAGGACTACCGATCAGGAATCGCCCTGGCCAGTAACAAGAAAAGTTTTCGGTCATTCATAATTCAATTTTGCTAATATTGACCATGTGTTTAATTGATTGCTTATCAGCAAAGCTCGAGATTAACACGAAAAGGTATAAAATAATGAGTTGTTTTAAAATTCGTTAAAATTAAGATAATGAAATTTCTTTCCACCGTTTCGCTCTAAGCAGAACTATGCCCTGAGAACGTTACACGCCGTCAGGTTACACAGGTTAAGGAAATTAGATCTTGTTTCAAACTACAAACAGGGCAACAAGACAATATTCATCGTTAATGTGAACAAAAAAAAAGCAATATGAAATTATGTTTTACATGTTATGTGCATGTATATATATATATATATATATATATATATATATATATATATATATATATATACTGTATATATACATTGGCTCAGAGAGAGAATCTCACGATTATGATACTGTTTTGTCTGCAACATTTCCTTTTTTCCAGCTATTCGTCGACGATGTACCCCATGCATTTGGACAGACTTGTTACAAAGAGCAGTGTCTGAAGTGTCTGTTTGGATTATGGAGTAGGGCAGCTCCCGAAATTAGACTCTGTTCCGTAACTGAGGCTCGTCACTTTCTCCTCTCAGTGTCACACATTGCTTCAGATGTAGACACTCAAAGCGTTCGGTTGATAATATGTAGTGACATACCGTTATGCTCAAAATTGCACCTTTAACCAAAAAAAAAAAAGAGTGCAGGCAGTGTAAAATGCCCTCTCCAGAACACCGGTTACGCAAGTACATCAAGAACACCCGGTTTTCTCTTGCCCTTAACTTAACGACTCACACTGCAAACCCGACCGCAACACGCAATTCATGCAGGTTATTTTTGAAAACCCAGCTCTTGGTCCGACCAATCAGAGCACAAATACTCGAGACACCTACCTGTTTCATTCTTTCTATGTCTGTATTCCAATAAAACCAATAGGTGCTATAATTTTTTCAATTAGCGCATTAATTAGTGCCTAGCTGCTGCTATACTTATTCGTGCCGCAGTGTAACGAGCTCAGATGAGGCGCAGCTTTTGACTCGGTAGCATTACGAGGCTTGGGTTAACGCTTTAGATCTTTCCTCTGAAAGCGCTTTCTTTTCCTTTAAGTTTTTAAACGACAAAACTAGCTAGTCACGGAGCAGGGCCATGCTGGTCCCATATTACAACATATTCTTAGGTGTAGCGCTGAGCTGTATCGGTTGGGTATGCAGCGCAATGAGAATGACAAAAATTGGAAGCAGGACTTTTCTGTTTGTTCCCCAGACGCCATGCCGCACTCTCTCGACCGAAGATCTCCACCGACAGCTGCGAAATGCCGAGAGTGACAACGATTTACAAGGTCGCGAACGGCGTTCTTTGGACATATTTAAACAAGACGAAAGAATATCTAAGCCTAATGGAATGCACGGTGATTTAGAGCGCAAGTTTGAAAAACAACAGGAAAAGGACGTACTACAAATGCTTTTCCCTATGCAGTCATTGGACAGCCTTTTTGATACTGAAGACCATGGGGTAGAAATGGACACTAGAGAAAAAAGCGAAGTACATGAACATATTCCAAAAACAAATATAAATCTGCATAGACATAACAATAGATATTTATCAAAACATTTATCAAATATTCGACATGGGAGGTCAATCGCCCGTCGCCGCCTTTCTCTACCATGGACTTGTCCGATGCGGACGGAATTTATCAAATCAGAAGAAGGTGTTTTTCCTCAGTACATTCAGTCGGTAACATGTACATCGAAAAATTGTAACTTTGGACACTGTGAGTGTGTCCCAATCAAAAGAACTATGAAATTGCTCAAATTCAATCCTTTCCGGTGCAATCCTGTCCCCTTGACAAACCACGGAGAGACAATCTACGAAGAAGTCTGGGAAGTAATTAGCAAAGAGGTTACCGTCTCGTGCCAGTGTGAACGTCGTGCGTAGCGATTGTCAAACTGTTTGTGTCATGGTATGGGTGCACACGGTGACTTTTCTTTTCATTTGAACAAAACTAACTGAGTGTCACTGATAAGACGTAAACGAGGAAAAACCTGGTTGGTAAATGAGACATGAGCGTGCTAGTGTTTACACATGAGCTCAAGAATGTACATTCCCATTAAAAATAATAGATGTTATATTTGTCAACCTAAGTTCATTTAGATTGGCTTAATTTAATTGTTATTATATCTTATTAGTTGTCATTAAAAGGAGTTCATGAAATTGAAACTAATGTAACGATTAGAAATAATCTATATTTTGTGCTTGCCTTAAATGACGATTAATCGGACGGATTAATATCGTTTCGTATGACATGGACGTTAAATGTCACGATAACTGGTAGGACCTAACATACGTTGTATAGCTGAACTTACTGTATAATTAAATCCGACTACATGTTTCTTACAAATCAGCGAAAGTGTAAATCCATTTGTAATTAAATATCTTTATGTTATCTAATAATTGTTTATTGGTTTGGCAGTTCATAGATAAGACGGGCATTAGATTTTGCTTGTTCAGTTGAAACCGTTTTTCGACAAAAGTTGTAATTAAATATATTTATGTTGTCTCGGATAATTGTTTATTGTCTTGGTAGTTGATACCGTGGGTGATAAGAGGGGCATTAGATTTTGCTTGTTCAGTTGAAACCGTTTTTCGACAAAAGTTCTAGATGTTTCTAACAAATCAGCAAAATTGTGAATCTCATTGTAATTAAATATATTTATGTTGTCTGATAATTGTTTATTGTCTTGTTAGTTGATAGCGGGGGTGATAAGCGGGTGATTAGATTTTGCTTGTTCAACTGAAACAGTTTTTCGACAAAAGTTCTAGGCCTACATCTCGTGCTATCGCTAAAAATAACATCTATGAACAGATCCATATAAATTTTACCATTACCAAAAGAAAGGGGAAAACATAAAGACCTAAGAGCTAATCTTCCTTTAACATCGAGTCTCCCAGCAGTTACTATATCAAGGTTGAATCTGGGGGGGGGGGGGGGGGGGCAGGCAACTACCCCTCCTTTACCTCCTGAGGTATCCCTCTCTCCTTCTCCGCAACAAAAAGGATTTTGATCAAAACGAGACGAAACCAAGCAATATTTCAATCACTACAGGCATGCCTTGCTTATTATGACTCCATGCTTGTGTGGAGTCGGGGAGACAATCAGGAATCAGCCGCGTCGCTTTTGAACTATGGTCGGCCATATTTAGTCGGCGAATGAGTAATTACTTGGATCATCCATTCTGAATGGGGCCATAGTAAAACTGTCCTCATCTACCGTTTTATTTTTTATGCCCATGCCCCCCCCCCCAAAGCAAAAATCGTGGCCCCGCCAGTGTATATTTAATTTTTTTTCACAGTAATAACTCTACACAGCTGTGATATCATGTTTTTATTTTACACATGATATTTCCACAACACGGAAAGAAACTCCCACTGTCGTTGAAATCTTGTATGAGAACCAATGTTGGAATCGTGCCCTATATTTTTCCATGACATGCATTAGAAAAACCCTATTCCTGCCACGGGGTGCTCTTCTTGATAATCTTTTAAGTACCAATATATACGCGGTTTGAAATAATCAAAGCGACTACGTTAAAAACACAAAATATGATTAAAAGAATGTAAAACTTATATTGTATTGAATTGTTAAAGTTAGACCCTACACGTATAGATGCAAAGATAGAAAAAAAAGTTCATTAAGTTCATAAAGAACATGTCTCCGTTTTATTGAGCGTCTGGAGGTCTACCGAACGATATTCCAGTGTAAACGACATGGTTGGAATGTGTCTGCTCAGTTTCTCTTGGATACACGCGTTTTCCTCCCATTTGGGACTTTAAATCGCCGACCTAAATAATAATAATGATAAACCCTTAAAGGATTAATAGCTGTTGAGGTATGTGTGAAATCCCAGGGTAGAAATCGGTTCTTGCAAATTCGGCTTGTAAGTTTTAAGCAACAAATGGTTGTTTCATAAGTTGGCCCAGAAAAATGCAAGCACGGTTCCACTGCGTTAATGTGACATTGTACCCGCCAACGCGTCTAATTGTTTCAGCACATTGAACAACAATGTGAAGACAATTACACTGGATTTACAATTATTCTCGAACAACATAAACTAGATTGCAGAAAAATTAAGGGGGGGGGGGGGGGAGGAAGTGCCAGTCAATCTAATGAAATTGCATATCACCTTATTGTATTTATATTATAATGATACATCAATATATGTCTTGTATACATCTGACGTAGAAAAACACCCTATGAGGTATTGTTTTAACTCTTTATATGTCAAACTGTGATTTGAGTGCAAGGAACAAAAGATTTTTCTCCCATATGTAAGTGCAACAATGCTTATTTTTCTTTCTTCAAATATGGGTCATCTACAGTCCATATTTCTATCGCCAGACAAGAAAGCTTATGTTTTTAACTCGTATTATTGGAAAAGTTAAAGACCTCAAGAGAATTCAAGTATCTTTTCTGTAATTTGACTCACAATTTAATGATCATACGTAAATTAGTAAAGAAGTAAAGAAAAACATTTAAATTAAATGGAGTGCTGAATTTTAATAATTTTTGAAAACCTTAAAAACCCTCCTCAGAAAAAAAAAGATTTGCCCAAAAATGGTTAAAATGCACTTTTAGATAGAAAGGCCTTATTGTAAGAAGTAAACTTCTACGGACAGACCAGGAAAGTTCATGGTATACAAATATTATGATGATAAAAGTCATGATTTGCTGTGAGAAATAAAAGGTGATAAAAGTTATCTCGCTGCACTGAGAGAGACGAATTTGATTTGCATTTGTTGGGCCTTCTCAACAAACACATTACGGTTCAATACGCAGTGCATGCGAATCCGGCGTCTCCCTATACCCATCGAACTACCACAATTTAATGAAGGGTGTTTTGATCTTAAGATGGTTTTCTGCTATAGATATTTATTTTAAAGTGTTGTCCAAGAAAGACGGCATTTTCAAATTAATTCTGACTCACCCTCCCTCTATGTTTCTCTCTTTCTCTCTCTTCCCAACAAAGGGTTAAATTTGCCTATCGTGAACAAGATCTCGGTAAATTCAGTATGAAAACAACCACCCATTATGCAATTCTTAGATTGTTGTTAACTATTCAGGTGTCAACCAAATTATTTCCTTTATAAGCAAACTTACTGTTGTTGTTATTGCGATGATTGTAGATTTTGTTTACAATCAAATAGAGAACTACACTGTGTCAAACTTAAGTTATCAAAGAAAGCACCGTACATTGCTAGGGACGTAACAAGGCAGACAGGTGTTAGCTTAGTATATGGGCAGTGTATCCTGATTTGGATGGACTTAAGTTGTCTTACCCTGCATATTGTCAGGTAAGCCAAAACTGATAAATTAGTAACGAATTAGTTTTTTAAGTGCATTCCTAACTGTATAAATTCGTTCTTATGCTTTTCGTGAACTCCTTTTCATTTTTAGAATAATCTTATCTAAGGCGTTGGTAGGTGAACTCGCCCGAGTGAATAACTGTGTACACTTGTTTTGTTGTGGCAATGATCAGTTCTATCGTTTGCTCCAAACGGGTTGAATATAAAGTGGCCCCTTTAGTTCACGGTCTGTGTTGCGATAACCATCTACGTAACTTGGGAACAACAAGACTGTAATTGTATATTTCATACATTCAAAGAATTAAATTAAACGGCGTCATATATCACAACGGCATAGTACACAAAGTAACGAACGTCAGCACTTCGAGATCAATCGAAGTTTGGTGAGGCCTTGTCACGTTGTCTGTGGACTACCGAAGAAGTTCTCTGAATCAGGGTAAATTCATGTGTTTTATATTCCTTTTTTGTGACCATTTCTTAGTGCGGTGTGTTGAATTAACGTAGTTCGGTGACTGGTGGTTAAAGACTCGGGAAAATTGGTTCAGTTTTCCCACCAGAATTTCCACTAAAACACTTTGCTTAGTTAATAGTGGATAAATGCCATCTTCTGTGTTTTTTTTCTTTTGTCAAAAAGAATCTATGTAACTCTTTAGGGATATAAACAGGTACCTGTACAGTATAATAAAAATCCGAGTCTTGATGCTCTTTTATTTGCACGTTTTTTAATAAGAATTGTTCACACAAAAAATACCGAAGTTCATCACCTGCTGCTTTAATACTTTGTACAGGTAAACTAGTTACACCTTGTGTGGTGTTTAAAAAAAAATGTAAGTTGTTGTCCTCTGTACCGCCTAACGTATTGCACTGCAAGAGTGGAAAACTGCAGTGCGTTTTAATCTTTTCTGAACAGATTCTTTAAATACAAATGCCTTTGTTGCCCAGAACATTTCAGTTGTTGTTTGTGGTAGATGGTCGCGAAAAAAAGAAGAAAATAGAAGAAGAAAAAAAAACTAGATTTTCTGCAGTTTTAGACTTCTTTCTGATACATGTAGGTAACTAACCGTTCCTCTATCGAGTTCCAATCTTAAAAAATAATATAAGGCATTTCTATCGCGAAAAAGAAACTTTTTTCATAATTTTTCATAACTTGAAATGTGCTTTTTCACCAATTCAAAACACTGTTTGAAAATCATTCTTAGTGGTTTTGAACTTTGAACAGGGATTTTAATTTCCTTACATAAATAGGATAGAAATGCCCGAGTGACGTACAAAAGCACAGGTATTTTTAACACGAAGACATAATACAAGGTTGGGTTAAACCTACTTATATAAAAAATACAATTTTTACATTATATTTTTCGATTATGTAAGTCACACAAGGGAAAGCTTAATGTTCCCCTCATTACCACTGATTTGGAGAGAATGAGATGGGCTAAAGGTATTCAATGCAGTGCAACAATGACCATATTTGTTTGAATCAAAAACATTGAATATCCAAAATAGTCCGAAATTTTAAGTCACAATAGATCAACAAATGTACCTTAACTACCGGCGAATTATTTTATTCATACTTTTTGCTGGTCAATATGAGATTACCAAGAGCAGTAAGCAATAGTTTGTGCTAACGGACTACTGGTTACGTATATGCGCATCAAAGGAAGTGTAGTGTCAACGACTTTTATACCCACTTCCAATCAATCCACGTTGCCTTGACTTGACTAAATAGGGTGAACAACGCCAAATTAAAATTCTACAAGTGATAGGGGAAACAATTCTAAAATTCTAGTATGTAATAAGATCCTTAGCCATTTACAGAGGCCCAGATTCAATATTTGGTTTAACCAGTACTTGATGTTCATTACCTACATCGTGCTGCACCTTACACACAAATAACCGCCCAACAATCGGTATCAATTTCGTTTTACATATTAGATTGTATAGTTTCTTCTTGCTTCGAACTATAAATCTAGAGTTGTTCTTCAGTTGTGCGCCGGGATAAAAGCTGTAAGAGGAACCGTGAATTGTGACATATAATGCGATTGATGAACCCATGTAAAACAAATTTTAGAATAATAGAAAAGAGGTCCTAGGTAGAAGAGGCGTCGTGCCCATTTCGAAGGACAAACATAGCCAGACTGAAAACGGTCACATTTCAATATTGATCCCCGAGATTAGGAGGGCTCTGAAAGGGTATGCAGAGATTAAGGATGTTTGCACGATACTTATGTGGGAATATCTCTAATTTCATTTAATGTGTTTGTATTATTTACAGGTTACTTTGGGCACCTGTCACAAATAGCAAGGCGACACGGACGACGTGAATATGATCATCATACATCCCGAAAAGTTAATGCATAAGGTCTACAGCAATTATTGAACCAGCTTCGATTTAATCCAACGGGAGCTTCACATATCCACTGACAGGATAAAGTAAATTGTGGAACAAAAGACTGAGAGAACACATTCAAGATGCATATTGATCAATAACACATATAACATAAAGCGTTGTAGGATAAATCAATATTCCTAGAGGCAAAGGAAATTGAATTGAGGGCACTGTCAGATTTGTTATGATAAACATTAGCGTGTCTATGCGTTTGCCATCTACTACATGTACCATGGAAAATGGCAGCGAGTCAACGCGGGCGCAATCTGCACGAAGGAAATCAAGCACTAAGTACGCTTGGGGTCCAAGTGCTGGGGAAAAAGATGCGGACAGAAGAGTAAAAGATGAAAAAACTGAAAAGCTTCCCCGATTACTGCGAAAAAAGGAAGGTTTGATCACAGCAGTGAGGCGCTCTCAGTCATCTTCAGCGAGAGAACAAGAAGACGAGATCGAAAGAATAAAAAGGGCCAACCGGCGCGAGTCGCTTGCTTTTGGCAACGCTACTGCTGATGAAAGTCGCCCAAACTCAGCGAGGTCCATTTCTCCAGATTCCTCGGCTGTGACAGGAGGGGAGGGTGGTGGCAACAGCTCTCAGAATATCTGGATTGAATTTGAAAATCATATCAAAAGTATAGATGACGATTCTTCGAAAATTAGGACTTTTCAACAAAACAAAGTTAACTTCCGATCTAGCGAGACATTTCAAAAAGTTGCTGGAGAATTCCGGAGTGAAAAATCAAGACAAAATATAGGGTTTGGGACAAATTTGAGGATAAAAAAATTCACAGCAAACAGGTCAAATAAGCACCAAGAAACGGAACCACAGCATGGAGAGAATGAGACAGAGACAGAAAACCAGATAAACCCAGAAAAAGAAACAAAACAAGGAAAACCAATGCGTTGGTCTGTTATAAAGCAAGGGGTTAAGGAAGTGCAAGAGGAGAAAAAAGGAAAAGACGCAGGAAATCTTACAAGCAGCATCACAATTAAATGAAATAGACCTTAAAAAGCAAGATCTTTACATTAGGTACGGGATCATTCCTGCAAAGGGACATGCCAAACCAACAAATACAATGATACCTAAAATCAACCCACGTTTTGTATCAAAGGAATTTTTAGCGTCATATAAAGTTCTCCACCCGACCTTAGACTATTTGGACTACAGAGAGGGTCGAACTAGACGTGGGAGAAGGGTGCAATCCGCTTTCACCTGACACATTCTAAACATAACAACTTTACATGGCGCTTGGTTCAGTATGTTACATTTCTGAGTCAACAATGAATGGGTCATGTGGGTGATACAAATAAACCGCCCGCATTAAGTCAAACTATATCGGTTGGTTGGTTGAAGCTGGGTGACACAAGAGAAGCATTCCAGTTCTTTTATTTGTCAGTTTTTTTATTCTCCAGTTACGCTGTATATATTTCGTTAAGCGGGCTATCATATTTTGTCACACAATGTTTTGGCTTCAGAAGCCTTTTTTTAGTTATTCTTTATAACGCAATGCAATAATTCCAAATAAAGTATTTATAGAAGAGGAGTGTTGAATCGATGTACCTAGAATTAAAAATATACTCAAGCCGGCAAGTGGGCTACGTCATCATGGACTCCTTACAGTGGCTGCCTCTCCTCCCTCTACAAAATACCCTGATCCCCTGTCGTCTTTATTCCCTTGTGATACGTTGGTGAATGTGTATCTTCACTAAGTATGAAAAAGTATGGCTTGATATGAGCTAGTAAGCACTTGTAGTATTATACNAAAAATATACCCAAACCGGCAAGTGGGCTACGTCATCATGGACTCCTTACAGTGGCTGCCTCTCCTCCCTCTACAAAATACCCTGATCCCCTGTCGCTGTCGTCTTTATTCCCTTGTGATAAGTTATTTGTTTGAAAACCCATGTACATATCCATCTTAACATTGGTGAATGTGTATCTTCACTAAGTATGAAAAAGTATGGCTTGATATGAGCTAGTAAGCACTTGCAGTATTATACATATAGGCCTATATGGCGTTTGGGAGGGGCCAGAGGGCTAGGCCTGCTTATTCAAAACCACACCTGGTTCAAGTTGTTCAATAGTAAATTTAATACTAAACAATGTAGGGAGTCATCCGGCCGTATTTACCCAAATAATTTTTTTAATCTAATACTGGACTTTCAATTTACTCTTTGGTTACGTACCAAGACTGAGAATAGTTCTAACTGTCTTTTCGATCAGCAGACGGGCTGAAATCTCCGAGAGGGAGACACAAATTAAATTAAATTAAATTAAATTGTAAGTCCAGTAAAGTAATATTCATTTATCAAGAATTATAATATTCATCATCATAATCCTTTTAATATCTCTATTTCGTATCAGAACAACTCAAAAAGTGAACAGAAGTCCGATACGAGAAGAAAAAGTACGCGATCTGAACAGACTATTTCACATGTATTAAATAAACCGTTGAAATGTAAATTGCTGTAGTTGAGCAGTGTCTGACCACAGCGCACTCAATAACGCAACCAAACCATTAGAGCTGGTCATTGTGATCCCACTACCAAGGGACGTCGTGATCGTTATCAATACTAAAATGCACCGGTATTTTATCATAATGGCAAGTCTCTGATGGCATTGCCTCAATATGCTTCAAGTTAAATTTTGAATTCTACTAATGTAGAATCATATAAATTTTGGTAGCAGGAAGTAAATATTAAAACAGATTTTGGTGTTTTTCCTGTCTAATTAAAATCTAACCTTCCCGTTTGTATAATATACAATCTTTTAAATCAGTCTTTCATAACTTTTTTCTTTCTGTAAAAGACAGTCATAAAAAACATAAAACCCCCCTTTACACTGGACGGTGTAATGTCTGCGCTCTTTGTGCGACAGGTGAAACTGGCATCGCTGTGGTCGTAATAAAGGGGCATAAGCATCGCTTTGGTTGCAGAATGAATGCTCAATGTTGTCGGCACGTAAAGTATTTTTTTACTCTCAAACGGGGCCGTACTGCGGGACGCAGAAAGGACGCCGTCCGGCGTACAGGGGGCTTTAAGAAATGCATGTAGTTTACAAGACGGTTTATAGTAGGTCCTGGTAGACCCACGGGCTATATAGGTACTACAAACAGTCATCTTCTTCAGTGATTTTCAATAGTAGTATCTGCAAGCCAAGATATTCAGAGCAATTGGAGGACTGTCTCTTCACAAACATTTGTCAAAAAGTTACTAATTAAATACTATCGTTAAAAATCACAAGTCAACATTCAAAATTTGCCCAATAAGAAACAGTTAAATAATTTTATTGTTCTGAACAATAAACAGAGGAAAATCGTCACACAGACAACTTTGATATAAATGCGCCGAAAGCAATACATTTTGACACACTGGAGACACAATGCAATTTACACACTACAAACACATAGTAAATAAAATACGATTCAGCTACGCATTTCACACCATCTACTTACAGGACAAGAAAACCGTATGGTGCAGTCGAAATAACGAAGACTGCTCGTCTATTAGTTATTATATTAAAGTCTCATATAATATATTACCTAAAGTAGTGAGGTTCCTAGTTTTAAAGATATTGTGACCAAGCTCATAGCCGATATACACAAAGCGGAAAAGAGAAATTTAAAAATACTGCAAAGTAACCAATATATACAATATTCTCAAAATATTTTTCTAATGTTATTCACCAAAAGAGGTAACGCTGTAGTGTTCCGTAAAACTAAAAGGTTCCCCATCAACCGCATGTCGTAATGGTTTGACCCAGTGATGCAGTATTTCATTGGGGACCAATTGAGGTATTCTTCTATACAATAATGCACATACTTCTTTGACAAATACACTTCCTGCGCAGATAAGTGTATGTGTTATATTACAACATTTTATTTTTTACACACATAGCTTTGTCTCTATTCCATGCAGAATGTTGACTTACACATTAATTATTCAATAAGCTATTTTAATGTCTCTACATTTTAGACCATATGGCACTCGTGAGGAAAAGAAAATCCCCTAAAAGCATAACAATTCAATAGTTTGAATACGAAGAACGAAGAGTATTTCGCATTTATACGAAGAGAATCATCCTCTGTAGGAAAATCGAGCTNAAAAAAAAAAAAACAATCAGACGGTAATAGACATCGGCAAGCTTTGTCAATTTCATCAACTTGTTTATTTCAAACAGCGTTGCGCGCAAAGGTTTGTGGGTAATATGAGGGTCCAACTTGCCCCGAGTCAAGGGGGCCAACTAGCCCCGGGTGCACATTATTTATTTTAAAGGATGGTAGCCATTTATGGTGCTAGAATGAGCAACGATGATACATATCTGTGAAACTTGAAACAATGAGCTTCAGTTTGATGCCCTATACATATCTTATATTCGATCAAAAGCCTATGAAAATAGATTTTTAAATCTCTTAAACAAAATTACTTTTAGGTGCAAAAATCATTTATTTCGACTCACCGCTTAAGTAAAACTTTTTAACGTCCGACACTTCCTTAGCATTGTAGGCTACGGTCACTTTGCAAGAGTATGTGGCCAATTTTTTTACCTCGTAGTTACTTTTTCATAAATTGACGGGGGGCCAACTTACCCCGGGGTCCAACTAGCCCCGGTCTCCCCTAGTCTCTGATGGCATTGCCTCAATATGCTTCAAGTCAAATTTTGAATTCTACCAATGTAGAATCATATAAATTTTGTTAGCAGGAAGTAAATATTAAAACAGATTTTGGTGTTTTTCCTGTCTAATTAAAATCTAACCTTTCCGTTTGTATAATATACTTTTTAAAACATATGTACAGAAAAATCAAAAGCCGCGAACGCAATCTTTTAAATCAGTCTTTCATATCTTTTTTTCTTCCTGTAAAAGGCAGTCATTAAAAACATAAAGCCCCCCCCCCCCCCCCCCCCCCCCCTTTGTGCGATAGGTGAAACTGGCATCGCTGTGGTCGTAATAAAGGGGCACAAGCATCGCTTTGGTTGCAGAATGAATGCTCAATGATCGGCACGTCAAGTATTTTTATTTTACTCTCAAACGAGGCCGTACTGTGGGACGCAGAAAGGACGCCGTCCGGTGTAAGGGGGGCTTTAAGAAATGCATGTAGAGTTTACAAGACGGTTTATAGTAGGTCCTGGGAGACCCGCGGTTTAACGGGCTATATAGGTACTACAAACAGGTAGTGATTTTCAATAGTGGTATCTGCAAGCCAAGATATTCAGAGCGATTGGAGAACTGTCTCTTCACAAACATTAAATAATGAAAAATAATAAATAAATAAATAAATAAATAATAAAATACTCATAAAATACTCATTAAATATTATCGTTAAAAATCACAAGTCAACATTCAAAATTTGCCCAATAAGAAACAGTTAAATAATTTTATTGTTCTGAACAATAAACAGAGGAAAATCGTCACACAGACAACTTTGATATAAATGCGCCGAAAGCAATACATTTTGACACACTGGAGACAATGCAATTTACACACTACAAACACATAGTAAATAAAATACGATTCAGCTACGCATTTCACACCATCTACTTACAGGACAAGAAAACCGTATGGTGCAGTCGAAATAACGAAGACTGCTCGTCTCTTAGTTATTATATTAATGTCTCATATAATATGTTACCTAAAGTAGTGAGGTTCCTAGTTTTACAGATATTGTGACCAAGCTCATAGCCGATATACACAAAGCGGAAAAGAGAAATTTTAAAAATACTGCAAAGTAACCAATATATACAATATTCTCAAAATATTTTCTAATGTTATTCACCAAAAGAGGTAACGCTGTAGTGTTCCGTAAAACTAAAATGTTCCCCATCAACCGCATGTCGTAATGGTTTGACCCACAGATGCAGTATTTCATTGGGGAACAATCGAGGTATTCTTCTATACAATAATGCACATACTTCTTTGACAAATACACTTCCTGCGCAGATAAGTGTATGTGTTATATTACAACATTTTATTTTTTACACACATAGTTTTGTCTCTATTCAATGCAGAATGTTGACTTACACATTAATTATTCAATAAGCTACTTTAATGTCTCTACATTTTAGACCATATGGCACTCGTGAGGAAAAGAAAATCCCCTAAAAGCATAACAATTCAATAGTTTGAATACGAAGAACGAAGAGTATTTCGCATTAATACGAAGAGAATCATCCTCTGTAGGAAAATCGAGTTTAATAAATCTGTTCACATTCAGAATACATTATGAAACCATCGTCGGGCTTTTGCAAAGCCCCGCTTACATGCACATATTTGTCTTCACTTTAGGAAATCATCAACAACTCTTACCCTATGCAAGATGTATAACAATCTCAAAATTCACGCAGTGCTAGTCCTTTGGTGATAACTACAATCATGAGGTAATAAAGTTGTTTGTTTTTCTTGCTTGCGATACCTGCCTGTCAATTCTACATTTAAAACTACCAATTGTCATGTAGGTCCAATGGAAATGATATTGCATGACATTCTGAAAGCACAGCTCTCTGAACGAAGAGATATAGAAAACAGTGCTATTTGTTCCTTCAATTCCCTTAGGATGAAGTCTACCTGAGATGCTATTATACAAACAGGTTGGTCAGCAGCTCCCGATGCTGCATCGGATACATGTATTATACATATTGCTGGTGCTGTTTGCCTCGTCATTATGATATCTTTTCTTTTCTTTTTTTCTTTTTGTCTACATACTGCATGTAAAACTGCATCACGATGATGAAATGAGGTAATATAGATAATAGCTATAACGGCATAGCCGTACATAACTTGTAATAGGTCCACAACAAACACTGACATTCTAGAAAGCAAAAAAAACTTTTAAACAGTTTTTTCACAAAAGTAGCATCCCTTATAATAGACATTAACCCTGAAATACCAATTTCGGTTTTATAAACTTAAAAATGATCCAAAAAAAATTAAAGATTGTATTCAGTAATGTTATACAATTAATTAAACACTATATAGGTAACTATTATTAATATGATTTAAAACAATTTGTCTTGACAACCTTGCATTTTTCAAGCATCTTTACACATGAAAAAAGTCTTGACATCCAAGAACAGCTTGACAAAACTCACAGGCTGATCCAAAAACCGATTGAAGGGTCCAAATACATGTTTTGAACGGCACTCAAAAGCTTATCATCTTCTATGGCAGCGTTACACCATCCCTCGCATACCGTTCTAGCATAGGCACCTGAGAGATTTACTGACCAAAAATATATATTCCAAGATAAACTTATACCCGCAAGGAACCCGCTTATAACGAGGGTATGTGGATTTTACTTTAAGTGTAAGTTATATATATATATATCTATATATAAGCCGCATTTCCGTTATTTGATCCTCGACACCTATTTGGAATCCGTATTTTCCTCTGTCGATCCATTTTCACTTTTCCCACCAGAGGACCGCTTTTTCTCAATCATTCCACGCAGCACCGCGATTTCTTCTGCTAGGCCTTGTAGTTCTGTCCGAAGCGTCTTGTTCTCGTTCTCTAGATGATCTGTCTTGGCCTTACGCTGTTGGATGAGAGCCTTTCTGTTCTCGCGGCATTTGCGTGCAGCTTCGTTATTTCTTCGGCGGCGCTCGGCATATTTCGGATCAATGAGGTATCTGGAATTCCCTGCCCCATAAGCAGTTTCAGAATCTGAGGTATGAGAGGCGGCCTCCGAATCACTGTCGCTGGTGTATGTGTTCACATCTTCTGCAATGACCAAGCGGTTTTGGCCTTCCACGTCTTCCGCAGTGCCTGGCATATCTGGCTTACCTTGATGAGTTGGTGGCACGGACGAGGATCCTGCGGTTGACGGTGTCTTGGACTCGCTTGGCTTTTTTGGAACGCACGTCAGGTTCAGTGGACTTTCACTTACAGCCACCTCAGCGAGGGCATGCAAACCATCAGGGGCGTTTTTTCTTTCGGACAGCTTTGTGATCGCAGGAGGTATCACTCTGAAATTATTGACCATTGGCAAAACATTTGGAGCAAGTCCCGAATGCATCAATAACGTGTTGAAGGCACTGGCATTCATATTGTGCGGGAACATGGCCGAATTAAGATGCGCAGGAATAAGAGGTAACTGCATGTGAGGAAGAGACGTTTTGGAGCCCATAAACTGAGGAAAAGAATTTACTGCGGCATGGTTGGTGTTGACTTTCTCGGGAGTGCATGCTCCTGCCGCCCTGAGCGCTGCAGAGATGGAGTTCTCTGGTGGTGTAGTTGTGGTAGACATGCTGGTTTTGATTGAATGCGTTGTGATACCAGTGGCAGCGACGTGCTTGGAAACCGCCGGAGATCTGGTGATTACACTTGAGGTAGTTGAGTCGCGAGAGTCATGGAGAAAGTCATCTGGTGGTTCTACTTTTATCTTTTTTGTCGGAGGTTCCTCACTCACCTGTTGCCCGGACACAGGCGGATTGGTGTTGCTGTTGGCGCTTTCGCCTTGAGAATCTGAGTCTACTTTCATTGAAGAGTTCTCGTCAGAGAAACTTGTGTCATCTGGAACTCCGAATTTCTGTTTTAATGCTGCCAGTTCTTTCCTGAGGGAATCGTTTTCTTGACTAAGTTTAGTTATCTGTTGTTCTGTTTTCATATCATGGAAACGCCTTTTTTCGCGAGATCTCTTTGCGGCTTCATTATTGCGGCGTCTTTTGTCCCAGTATTTGAGGTCTTTTCTTTCCTCTGGAATAAATTCTCTCTGGCGTCGAGGAGGTATGATTTTAGGGGTGACTGTTGGACCACCAGATTCTGCGCTGATGGCTCTGGCTGGTGTATGGATATTGCTTACTAACATAACTGGTTTTACTACCGCTACGCCCGATGTGACCACAGACTGGGGGTACGGCTCGTTGGAACTCAGAGCAGCTTGAAGCTTGGAGTACTTCGGTTCAGCTTCTTCGTCGGTGGACATCCTCTAGAAATGGATACATTGATTAACTATAAAATTATACAACAAGGCAGCACAGCTGTCTAATGGTAGGTATGTAAGTGTCATTGACATTAAAACAATCTAAAATTTGAAACACATGTTGCATCTTCAGTATATTTCAATAAAATTTTGAATAAATCGTAATTAATGTTATTTTCAGATTGTCACTGAAAAATCTGTTGAAAATTTTATTTGCCCAGAATCTCCCTCAACTTGTATTTAATATGTATCGTTTTTCACTACTGCACTGCATTTTCCTTCGCTGCATCGTGACCTTTAAACTTGACTATAATCCCCGCAAAACGAACTCGACTCTACCCGCCC